TCTAGTGAATTAGGCTTGTAACGCATCCAGCTCACTCTCTTCTCCCACACCTCCATACTCTGGTTGCGAGACAAGTGGGTGCGAACTCAATGGCCGACAAAGCTAAACTGTCCGTCCACGCGTGCCACTCACGACTTGATCCTCACTTCATGTATCAGGTTACACCAAAATCATGCTCCCCACCTCAATGAAATGTACATGCGGCGTTTCACCCTGTCACACTGGCGCTGGGAAATTGGATCGCATACGTGTTGTAGGAGTGATGCGTACTGCTTTACGGGGGTCGCGTATGTCCTTGTTGTGGAATATTTGCCCGTTTAACCTACGGGGCATGTCCGTGCGCGGGCAGATCGAGGTGTTGTGTGGAATCTAAAAAGAGTCGTTTTACCGAAGATGTTCATGGACGCACATTACTTCCGGATAGGCCCATGCAATGACTGAATGTCCTGGGGCAGTGTGGTCCAGTTAGACGGGAGTGGCGGGTATATGTTGGAGTTCAAAACACTGACTCACCTGTCTCATTACGATAGATCCGTATATGACCGACCAGACCGATGTGTGACTCAACCGTACGGTCGCAGTGGGGGCAAGATGACAGTGCCTACGGAGACGGTGGTTGCGGTGATATTAATGTCAGTCGTAGGGTAGGTGTGTGGTATGGGAAAAGGGTGGGCCATTGTGAAATTGGGGGAGATAACGATGCCCCGTATGCACCTATGGCCGAAATGCGCCATCCGGTGTCTGATTGTTCTATAGTAATGTGGACAGGTTAGACGGATACGAAGAGTGTATATCTGGGCTCCAGGTACTGCTACCTAGGCCGCAATGCGGTGGAGTAGCAAGTGACCGACCAGACAGATGCGTGACTCGTAAGTGCTGCCACAATCGAAACAAGTTTAACATTAGTCAACAGGGCTGCTGGTAGGAGCGATAGTAGTGGTGTGGGCAAGATGGAGGAGATTTCATAATCAGTGGCACTAACGTTGGTATTGTTTTATGGGACGGGGGCAGAGTTCGTCGTGTTGACATTACACTGGGTTCGGAGATGTCCGACGAGGCCTCTCCACGCCTGAAATTCCCTTTGGCAATGTGGATATGATGGCAGACTGTGTCGTTGGTCCGCGGCACTCTAGTCTTGTATACTTGTCTTTGGGTCTTGGCAGCGGTCATTCTGTTGGCCTTGAAATGCCTGCCGACCTTGAGTGACGTCCTCCCAGCTCTTGGGTTTGGTTTCCGGATGCTCTAGGGAGGTATTTAAGACATCCCAGAAGCGTAGCCTTTGTTCGCCTCGTTTTCAAACACCCGTGGCTGCATCGTTTGAGCAGGCACTGGTTATCCATTTATGATGTGGCCGCCACATCGTACTTGTACTTGCCTCAACACGGCAGAACTACTGAAAACATCGGCCCTTTTTAGGGCTCCAGTGTCGGTGATTTTTTTTCTTCTACTTCACTTTCAGCATTCTCTAGAGGCAGTTAGGATGAACATGACTGAACTTTCTTGCTTAGTCTTCGTATACTGTCCATTTCTCCACTACGTACGGACGTGTAGTCAGAACTACAACTCTGGACATCCTTAGCTTTATGTTGGGGAGCATGCAACAACAATTCCAGACGCAGTGTTGTAACGGACCGAAGACTTGGCTGGCTTTAGAGATCCGGCTCGCAATTTCATTTTCGACCCGGATGTTTCTTGATGTGATATTCCCAAAGTACACTAATTTGTCTAAATCTGCTAAACGAGCTCCATTCTTCTTGGTCTTCGGCCATTGTTCCCATCAGATGGCGCTGGTTGGTACGCAACCGCCCTCCATCTGCCATCTGCGAACAGGAAGTTGTGGATCCTGGCCCTGTAAACTTGCGTAGACGTTTGCACGCAATGGGTGTTGTGCAGTTTTCCGTCGATTCAGTGGGCTATGTTCATTCCTGGTCGCTTCTTGCTGTAGGCATCCATCCGCATGCGTGGAAGATAAGACTGAATGGTATGGAAATGAGAGTACAATGCTCCACTTCATCTCATTTGTCACCGGGAATGCTGCAAGGGTTGCCCCTTTTTCGGTTTCGCGCGCTATCATCCTATGGTGCAGTTGTTTTACAGTTCGTATGAACCACTGTGGACATTCAAAATTCAACATGATCTTCTACATTTCTGCATGGTCCTCTGTGCCAGAGTCCTTTTTCAGGTCCATAAGGGCGGTTTAGAGGGTAATACTCATTTCCTGGCACTTGCGAAGGTAATGCCTGTGGTTTCCCTTCGTTTCCTAAGTCCGCACTGCTTTTCTGGAAGGAGTCTTTTCTCCACATGCGCATCCGGCGAATGAGTAGGACTCGGACGACGGTCTCGCTTGCAGTGTTTGTGAGGTAGAAGCCTCTAGTTATCGCCGGGTTTCGGTTCCTTTTACGTCTTTATACGTTCCCGAGGACATTTTCTTTGAAGCCGGGATGGGTTTTTCCTTGAAGCAGTGAGCGGTTAGCATGCTTGGCCATTAATTCCGGCCTCCATTATTTGTGAATTTCAGCTAGACCTGCGTCTGCGTCCGATGCCTTTCTGCTGAACGGTTATTGCATGGCGTTGGTTGTCTCTTGAAGGGAATGCGGAAGATCGAAGTCGTCATTGGTTCCCACCTTAATAAGTCGACTGGTGACCTCTTCGCAGATTATGAGTGGACTGTTTAAGACGTCCCTGAAGTGCTCGACCCGGGGTTTCATGATTTGCGACTTCTCCCACAGTAGGATTGCGCCGTCTTGATGTAGCAGTCACGCAGTCCTTTTGAGTTGGGGACCGCAGATAGCATTGATGGCCGTGAAGGAATTCTCTATCTCACCGCCTTCGGCGTATCCTGAATTTCTTCTGCCTTAGGATGTAGCCCATCATTTTGCATATCCTCCAGCCTCTGTTACACTATACTCCGGCTTTGGGAGCACGCAGCCTCGTTGGTGTTGCTGCTGTTGGTGGTATAGGTCCACCACCGCATCTAGCCATGTCGTTACACCTGACTCGGATCCCACGGAGTGGGACTACCCGACGGGAAGCAGCACCTTTCCGTCCCTCTTTTAGCTAGCTGGTTACTGAAACATATAAGCGGTCTCGGAGATACCGAGGTAGCGATCCATCCGGCCAGCGGAGCCGAGTTACCGTATGCGGAGATGCACGCACGGATACCCTCACCTGATTTAGCCCGCCGGTCGAGGCGGGTACCGGGCTGTGGCCACTAAGCTGAGCCTAGCTTCGGGAAGCAACAGGTGAGAGCTATGTGTCAGTAAATAGACGCTAGGCGTAGTCTACATCTGCAAGCAAGTAAGCGACCTACTACAACCGTCACGTGGACCCACAACTGGACACCCCTACACCCCAGTCCATCCAATCACACCCACTAACAAGGGCCTTCAATGCACCTGCAGCGTGTGTCCTCGCCCACGACACACCCTTTTCCGCCAACCTATACGCTATGTGGAGTTTCTAGGACAGTTCTGGTGAGTATGCTGGACAGCAGACACTGTGTGTCTTCCTACCAGCTCCATGAGTTGTGCGGTGTTCTCTGCACTGCATTCCGCGAATACGGACATGTCCATAGGGGCAAGTCCTCGAAGACTTCGCATTGCTGCTGAATTACTTTGAGGAAGCATCATCCCTTCCGACCTTTTCGTGGCCCAAAAATTTGACCTGAAATTGAACCCTGGAAGGGACAAGATACTCGCCGACA